GAGCTAAGGATGTATTGTGAACTGAGCTGTGGCCCTGGCACCGGCATCTGTCAGTGTCGCAGGAGGAGAAAAAAAATCACATCAACAGAATGTCAATCTCATGGTGGTCACACCCGAGTTCTATCCTGCACAGAAGTTAAGGACACTTGTGAGCATGCTTGGCCCATGTTTGTGACATGGTTCAGCATACAGTCCCACAGATCATGGCACTAAACTGGTGAGATTTGAGAAATAGCTTGTCCTTCTCTAAAGCAGGACCCCGATATGAGAGGCACCCCTACCTATATTTCTCACCAAGAATACAGAGCAGAATCTGAGCCATGAGGATTGGGAGGCTTCTCTAGTTTATTACCCTGTGGTTATACTACTTTACAAAAAGCATTTTAATGAAATGACATTTGTTTGTTTGTTTGTTTTTGTGTATGTGTGAATGGGTGTGCATACCACTGTGTTTTTGTGTGATGGGACAGGTCGGGTCAGGTAAATCCCCTCCAGCTTGTGGTTCTAGAACTCATGTGGGCAGGGTTGGCAGCAAGCACCCTTACCAACTGAGTCTTCCCACCAGCCCTGGCTGTGACTATTCATTCTTCATCAAATCTCTATAAAACACGGGCTTTATTTGTTTATGTCTTCATCCCCATAGAAAGGCAGAAATCTCCTTATATATAAATGTATATAAATATAAAACTTACATAAATAAAGCTATAATTTTCTCTTGTTAATCTGTCATTTGTTATAGGGTCTCCAGAGACAGTGAATCCAAGATAGACAGAAGGAAAAGGTGTTTTTTCCTCTTTTATATTCAATGGCTTACAAAAGTCTTCTGGAGGGTCTGCCTGAGTTGAGATATAAGAGATGATCGGGAGTTAGCAAATAATGAGTTATGAGAAAAGCATTTCTGAAATTTACTGAGTTGCAAGGGCATTGAATGGTTTGGTATGTGACGTCAAGACAAGAACCGAGAAGTGGGTGTCTATGGATGATGAGATGGAAGAGAAGGGGGGCTTTGTGCACAGACATGGAGTTTGTGTGATAACATAGGTATGCTGCAACGAGCGGAGTTCATTCATCTGATTTGGGTGACCAAAAGATTGTGCACTCACTGTGGAGGCTGTCCAATGAGGAATAAAGTTAATCAAGAAGAAAATACAAGGTTAAGAGGGTTATCAGGACTGCCAGATGAGCAATGATGAAGACTACCATTGGGTAATGGGAAAGGATCTGAATAAGGGATGGCAAGATTGCAAATTTTACATAATGAACTTTGGAGGATTATTGAAATATGTCTGTGGGGGATGGTGAGTGTGAGGATTGGGAGGCCGATTAAGGACAGACAGTAGAAAACTATGAGATGGCAACATTTTGAAAGAAGATTTATCACATAGTACTTGGATAGGTTTGCTTGAAAGAAGTCCCTCACAATAGACTTTACAGCCACAATCAGCTGGCCAGAGGCAGGAGTTCTCAAGGGAATCAGCCTGTAAGTGCTATTGTAGTTATCTAGAAACAAGGTGTGTGGGGGGGCATCAAAGGTTAGAGAGCGCTGAAAAGTTTGTGAGCTCCACAATGTCTTACTCATGACTAGCAGATGTCAGGGTATGTTTTTCATGCACACAAACAAAGGCATGAATGTGTAAGAGTTTGTTTGTTTCTGGTGGGTAGGCTTTCAGCGAGTGGTATCAGCCGGCACCATAAAAGAAAACAGTATAGAAGTCAATAGCCGAAAACCGCCTTTACTCTCCTTGACACAACATGTGTGTTTTGGAGCTTACTGTAGGTCCAGTGTGATGCTGAGGAGCTAACATGCCAGTTTCAAATGAAGCTTACGTCATGATTTGTGGATAAGCTGCTCTTTCCCATATGTTTCTTGGGAGCACATAGGTTGAAATTTTCAATTTATAGTGATGAACGTTAGCATCTCTAGGACCGGAGAGATATACTTTCCTATTATGTAAAGTACAATGCTACCTGTTTTCTTTGTTTAGTTACCTGGCCTGGTACTTGACTAAGGTAGATGACTCATCCTTTCCAGATTTTTTGATCCAATAATTCTTTTGCAAAGTCCTTCATCTTTCTTCCTGCTGGTTTTCCTTTTGATATTCCCTAGAGGGCTCCCATGTCCTTACTTGTGATTCCATTTTTCTCATCCCTTCTGTGCCCTAATTTTGATAGATACAATTCCACAATACTTCCCTATAGTTGTCCAAACTGTTCTATCTCTGGTTTTGTATGCATTCAAAGATTCTACTTGAAATTCTCATTTTCTAAGGACTCTTGATATTATCTGAGCATTTCCTGGTGGGAAATACTCTAAGATATGAATGGCTGATTCTCTTAATTGAGGGACAATTCCTCTTTCAAAGAGAATCATGTTGAATCTCTAAGTTAATGAAATGCACTGTAGGGGTCAGAAATAAGACAGAGATTTTCCAACTTTTTGGCAAAGATAAGAATGGCTTTCAAGTCCTTTAAGATTTAAGAGCTCTCATTCTGGCTCTGTTAACTAGATGAGGACAGATTTCCTATGGATTGATTTTACTCTCTAGTATAATGGCCTCTGTGCTGAGTGCTTGAGTCTGTCCTGTTTAATGTAGTGCAATTTTCAATGCTCAGATTTCATCATAAGCAGGCAATTTGGCTGCTCAGAATCAGGAAGCAAAGAAAGAAGGACTAGTGACAGCACACAGACATGATAGTCATAAATACACCTCAGAAATTCAGCATGAAAAGTCTTACTTTTAAAAGTTGCCTCATTTCCCAGTTAAGAACTTCATATGAATACAGTTGAGAGGTATATAGAAACTCAATACAGACGTTCAAAATTCTATATATATGTTGAGATGATATAGATTTTCTTTATTAGTTGTCTGCTGAAGGAAATAGATTCATCCTAGGTAGATAGAATTCATGTATTCCATAAGATCATTCAGTACTGGGTTTGATGATGTGCCTGAAAATTTCACAGACAAAGGCTTTTACTGCAATTCACATGTTCTGCCATGAGGAGGTGATAAGGAATGATAGAAACAGACCTGTAGACTAAACATGTCCACTCCAAAAGCCTTTTAAGAAGAGTTTTCTAGGGAGGGAGGGAGGGACTGGGAGGAGATGAGGAAGGAGGCTACAGCCAGAATACAAAATGAATAAATTGTAATAAATAATAACAATAAAGAAAAAATAAAGCAAGAAAGAAGAGTTTTCTTTTGCTTAAAGTGGTGTGTGTGTGTGTGTGTGTGTGTGTGTGTGTGTGTGTGTGTGTATTGTGTCTGCTGAAGGAAAGTAAGGGATGGGGACATGGGGACACAGAAAAGTCTTTTCTTTAAAGATTTATTCTATATAATATGGCTAATAATATCAACTTATAAGTGAGTATATACCATGTGTGTCTCTCTGCTTCTGGGATACTGCACTCAGGATGATCTTTTCTAGTTCCATTCATTTGCCTGCAAACTTTATGATTTCTTTTTTTTTTTTTTTTTGTTATGCCCGATTCACAAGACCACCAGTAGTCGAGTCCATTACAAAACACACAAGGATCTTTATTTGCAGCTTGAGCTGGGATTCTCACAGACACCAAGGCATTGGTATCCAGTAGAGAGCCCCGAGCTCAGGATTGTGGGATTTATAGGTCCCAGTCCTTCCCAGTGCACCCAAAGCAGGGGGTTCCAGCCTGGCAAGCTTCTAGTGGTTAAAACAGAAAAGGGGATGCTACATTTCAGAAACAATTTGCTGTGGGAAGGGGCCAAATCCATGAACTGGTCTGGTTTTCTTTGTTCTCTCTTTTGTGGCAAGGTGGGGAGGATGGCTGGCCTTGGGCTAAGAGGGGCGATTACTCAGTCTGTGCTATTTTCAGGAACAAAACTATGAGTTGGAAAGTTGGGGGCCATCTGGGCCAGTTTCCTGGCAATGGTATCTCTAATGAGCAGCAAGGTCAGCTTTTCTCTGCAGTTGGTTGGATCTGCCTAGAAGCAGCAAGGTCAAGCAACTGGCCTGATATGCTTTAAACTTTTTAGCTCAGTAACCCATGAAACTTAATTTTTAATTCTTTGGTCTCTCAGTTTTTAATAGCTGAGTAGTATTCCATTGTTTAAATGTACCATAATTTCTGTATCCTTCTTCGGTTGATGGACATCTAGGTTGTTTCCAGGTTCTGGCTATTACAAATAAAGCTGATATGAAAATAGTTGAGCAAATGCCCGTGTTGTATGGTTGAGCCTATATATATATATATATATATATATATATATATATATATATATACATATATATGTATATATGTATGTATATATACACACATATATATGTATGTATATATACACATTCATATATGTGTGTATATACATACATATATATACATATATGTGTGTGTGTGTGTGTGTGTGTGTGTGTGTGTGTGTGTGTGTGTGTATGCCTAGGAGTGGTATAGCTGGGTCTTGCGGTAGCACTATTCCCAGTTTTCTGAGAAAGTACAGATTGATTTCTAAAGTGGTGGTATAAGTTTACATTCCCGCCAGCAATGAAGGAGAGTACCCCTTTTTCCACATCCTCTCCATCATGTGCTGTCACTTGAGTTTTTGATCTTAGCCATTCTGATGGGTGTGGTATGGAATCTCAGAGTTGTTTTGATTTACATTTTCCTGATGACCAAGGACACTGAGCATTTCTTTAAGTGTTTCTCCATTTGATATTTCTCTGTTGACAATTCTTTATTTAGCTCTGTAAGCCATTTTTTAATTGGATATTTTGGTTTTTTTT